CAGCGTGAGACCAAGCAGGCGCAGAGAAACGCTCCCTTGGAGTTGGGCATCAGCCATACTGATAGGAGGCAGGGGGTTCTCTTTGGTGGGTAACTGAGAGTAGCTTCGTTTTAACAAAAAACTTTTGGGAAATGTTAGAATCCATCTCTTTTCCCTACCAACAGTTATGGATTAAATAGCAGGACGGGCTGGATTATCTAATCTTGGGTGGCAACGAGTTTAGGAGAAGGAGAACTATGAATTCAAAACCATTTGATCGTTGGGGTTGCAACTCTTCCCGCCAAAACCGTAAAAATGTATTTGCTACAGAAACTACAGCATCAAAATCTAGAGTGGGGAGGTTGTGGTGTTATTCTTCACAGTTGAATAATAATAAGGAGGAAGAAGTATGTCTAAAAACTGAATTGTATACTGAAATGTTTGCACCTATAAGGCGGTGTCAGGACTTTATTTCTCAAACTGAATAAAAAGAACTTAACTAAACTTGCGCCAGCTTTTTATGACTCGGTAACCCGTGAAAAAGAAATATTAAATTTCAAACTTGTCCCAAAAGTTCTTTTTTTACTTTTGTCGGTCTTCATATAAGATAAGATATGTAGATATAATAACGATATTTTTTTTTATCTTATATGAAAAGCCACTGGATTTTAGAAAAAAAATAATTAAAAAAGATTGAGGTAAACACACTTATACAAAAAAAAACTAAAAAAAAACAGACAGCGGCGTAGTGTGGGTAAGGTCATCGAGGTGGTAGGTATGGGAGCTTCACTTCTTAGAGGTACTTATTTCAAAAGAAAAAAAATATAAAGTAGTGATAATAAAAAATAAATAGATCGCCCTCCCAATCACACAGCGGCCCTGTAAATGCAAATAGTTATACAATTAACCCAATTTCAGGGGTTTCATTAAGTGTGAAACTTACAGGTGAAAATCGGAATGTAGCAGGTGGGATCAAAGAGCCAGATTATTCAATGTTTCAGCTGACAGTTGAAAAAAATGTTTTTCAATATTTAAGTTATTCAAAAGCTGAAAGAGATTTACCATAAAGCAAAAATGATTGATTAACCTCGGAATACTGTCAACTGGGAGAGACTTTTAACAAAAATTTCAATACTGTCATTTAGAGAATTTTAAATGTCGATTCCTATATCCTCATTGAAATATTAAATTGAAAAAACTAAAAATAAAGCGATTTTAAATAAAACTCTGTATACATGCATTGAATGTATTTTACTCCAATTAAATCAGTATTTTCTTAAAATACAATAATATACTCAGGTGTGGGATTCAATACCTTACTTTTTCCCCGGACACAGACGACCTTCGCTACGGCACCGATAGCAGAATAGCATCATTTTTCGGTAGTCAAGTTATACGAGCACTAAATATTCACAGTTCATTAATTCAGAGAGACAAGGTAAGATCAGAAAAATGGCATTACATTTCAGTAGAATCCCTAACAACCGGTCTAAGAAGACCTTCCGTATATGAGGAATTGGTTACAAAGTCCGGATATGATGGGTTATATTTAGTTTGAAATAAAAGAACTGAAATTAGGTTTAACATTTATTTTCAGTGTTTTATAGTAAACAAAAAAAAAGCTAATGGTGAGTGAAATATAACAGAATTGAGTTTAAAGAAAAATTATGTAATATTAATGAAAATTCATTAAATTAAGTATGCCACGTATGCAAAACAAATAATGCAACGAGGATTTTTAATTGCTGTTGCATGATGATTCTTTCTTTTCTAATGTCATTCTCAACTTTTTCCGCATTTCGTTTTGCTTTTGTTCTTGAATTTTTTAGATGAAAAACTCCTTTTAACTCTGCCTGCGTTATTGCAATCATCATAGCTGAATGCTGGCTTTCTTTCCATAAAACTGACAACCTTTTCAATAGCCTTTTCAATTTCAATCCAGGTTTCATCACAATAATGCATCTCGCGCTATCTTCTTGCAAATGTGTCTCGTTGTCATCCTTTCCTCTTATTCCCATTATCTTTTGCACCAATACAAGCCACTGCTATGAAATAAGCATAAGCAATTATCCAAAGCAAATTTCCTGAAAAACAGAAATTTCTATTCATATCACCCAAATAGTTCAAATATACACATCAAAATCATGTTCGGATATGCCGGATTCCGGTTATGAGGGATTTCGGATATGGGGGATTCCGAATATGAGGGATTCTTCTGCATATTCAACATCTCGACATTTATAAAAGATCAGTTTTTTTTTCTCTTTAATTATCAACGCACAGCTAATATTATCCGGAAACAGGAACACTTAGGTAAGAAAAATAATTCAAACGCTTCCTTTTAATTCTGTACAACGATAAATAGGTTTTTGATCAGATGAAAATGTTGATTAATAGTTTGACAGTACAGTTTTCCAGATGCGTTCAATGAATAAAGGATTTAAGAGATTTCAATAAAGTATAAGCAACTAATGAAAAACAGTATTTATTTATTTACAATCTTCTTTCTGAATATGACCAATAATGCCTCTCCACAATTTCCTATCACTTGTTTCTTTATGTCAGCGATTCTCGATCAGGAGGTAATCCCACCCAAAGAAGAATTTAAGTGTTTCATGGGGGAGGGAAAATCTTTTATTTTTCTGGTTTTTTATTTAGAGAATTTTGGAGCCCATTATGAGTGAGAAAAAAGAATGTAGGGTGAATCTTATATTCAATATGGACTTACATCCTTCACCATCATTAATTGGTGAAGAAAGCTATGTCAAATGGTTCTTTGAAACCAACAAAGTTGAAGCAACATTTGCTTAATGTGCATCCTCAAAACAAAGACAAAGGCTTTTTTTTTTAGGGAAAGGCGCTCAAAAATTGACAATTAGTTATGAACGAAATCAAATTACTCTAAATATATTCAAGTTTTAAAATTCATCTATTACTATTAAATTTGTAAAATCCCTCTCTGAAACAGTCCATATAAATGTAAATGTACCAATATGGAAAGGATGAAGATTTCAATAATATAGGTTTATAAAGTGGAATACTCATTTTGGGTGGTACAACCTTGGAAAAGGGGGCGGAATTACATTCGGACATAATGAGAAGGGTGCATTGGACAAAAATGATGGTGAACCACTGCTCTAAGCATATTTTGACCATTTCATATCTCACTTCATTCTTCTTTTACCCATTTATTATAACACGTTATGTTACTGTTTCCTTTTGATTTTTTTTTGCTTTAAATATGCCTTGTTAGTATCAAAATTTCTAGGCCGTCTTTCCTTCCTATATGTCACTGAAATTTCATCTCTTTCTAATTGTAAGTATAAGTTTCTTTGTTGTTGTCTTTTTCTTCATTGTATGCCCTGTCCATAGTATTGTTAGCATTCGTCAGTAAAACCAAATCTCTGTTGCTTCAAGTCTTCTCTTTATCTGGAAGGCGATCGTCCATTGTTCACTGACATCTCGGAGATTTGGCATAACGTAGCAGACCATAATTCTTTTTTTTTTTATGATTTTACTTCTATCTTAGTTAAAACGTTGTCGTTGTTCATAATGATTTGTCCATGGTATTTTCAGCATGACTTGGTAGAACTATATCTCAGTCTCTTTTACATCTATGAGATTGTCCAGAATCCACTGCTGTATAAGGGGGGGAGATATTACAAAACAATTCTGAACTCCTTTCTTTGTTTCTAACGAAATTTTTCTATTTCTTGATAGTTTGCTGTTCCTCTGTGCCTTCTGATTTCTGTCTCACATTTTTCTCATATATTACTATAAAAATTTCCAATAATATATATATATATATATATATATATATATATATATATATATATATATATGAATGAAGAAATATAGTTTTAAGGTGAGCTATATTTATAGGTTAAAGTGCTCAATATCAGAGATAGAGCGTATGTAAATATAAAAGTGAACATTGAAGTTAACACTCAGAGGCGACAGGCTGTTTCATGCTGGATGCAATCGTCAGGCATGAAACAGCCTGTCGCCTCTGAGTGTTCATTTAATGTTAACTTATATATATATATATATATATATATATATATATATATATATATATATACGTATGTATAATGTGACAAAAAATAAAATCCATCTTAAACATCGACAAATCTACCATTCGTCAGTGTATTGAATACTGTATCCATAACTGGTTTGGTGCCTTTGCTGTTCATCTGGAGGTTCTCAACAAAATCCAGAAAAAGGATCTGCAATGTAATTGTTCTTCACCTGGTATCTCGACTTCCGTCACATTCTCGCAGACGTAATGTGGCTTCCCTCTGTCTTTTCTACAAATATTTTCATGGAAACTGCTCGGACAAGCTTTTTTCCCTGGTGTCCCGACTATATGAATTTATACGTGCTACTAGATTGGCATCTAGGTCCTACAAATTTACTGTTGAAATAGTTAAATTTAACCGCCACTTATACTCCAACCGTTTCTTTTCTTGCACTTTCCGACTGTGAAACTTCCTTTGTCTTACTTGCTTCCATGATAACTACCATCTTCAAAAATTTAAATGCGGTTTCAACCGCCATCTTCTGTTGATTTGAACCGCGTTCATCTTTTATCCTCTCTTCAATCCCCTCTATATCCAGTCTTTTCTACCATTTTCACTCTCTGCAACACCCTGCGTGCTAGTGGCACGCCTGCCTTTCTTGGGGTGAAATGTTTAAAAAGATAAAATAATAAAAATAAAAACGACGTTTGGTACGACATTAGAGATAAAGATAGATAGATTTGTTTTTTACGGCTTATCGACCCTTTTCAAGCTACTTAAAGCAGAAACATATATATGGATTGCAAGAACTTTTGAAAATAATAATGTTTTTCTCATACAGTTCTTGCTATATAAGCCATACGTTGGAGGAGAAGAGTAGGATTCATACTTTCCAAAGGCTATTTGTACAAAGTGAATATAACGAACCAGAACGGAATTCGAACTAGGATCGCTGAGTTCTCATTCAGAGCCTTTATCCATTACACCAAAAATCCAAGTTTACAAGATCTGGTATTCCTGAACAGTCACACATCTAAGTATTGACCAGGTTCAACATTGCTTAACTTTGGAAATCGGACGAGAACAGGTGTTTCAGTGTGATTTGGTTGTAAGGGAAAGGTAAATGTTTCATTGGACATGTTCCCCTTCTTTGTAAACCGGTGATATAGTGACTATGAACCTTAAAATCTCATAGTGCCCCTCCCATATAAGCGGTTTTATTTTTCACGGTTTCAATTCACCGCTGTCAACATCCCAAATAAGCCAATTGCCAAACGACGCCATGAATCGAAAAATTTCCAGAATGCTCCTCACAAATCAATTCTGTGCAACTTTGGTCCGATGGCACGATGCATAATCAAGGGTATGACAAAATTGATCGCCATACAAATTGTTGGAAGTGTAAGGAACCAATTCTCCTCAAAAAACAATTCTGGGCAACTTAGGTCCGATGTCAAGAAGCATTTTCTTGGATACCCACAAAATTAATCACTACACCATTCATTAGAATATCAAGTATGTACTTGACACCAATTCGAGTGAATTTCAGTCCGGCGACGGCGTATTATCCTGCTGGAATGTTAAATAATTATCTTCAAAAGTTACGTCTGACCAACTTATAATCGACGTCATTTGGCTAATTCTGGCGTTTTCCTTCTAGGAAACGCCAGAATTAGCCAAAAACACATTTTCGTAAAGAGACGAAACCAAGAATTCTCGACAATGTCTGTACTGACAGTCAAAATGACTCGAACTTAAAAAATCAACTTTAGAAAACTTACAAATTTTAATTTTTGCATAAAACCACTTAATAAAATTTGCTAAAAGGTGGACAGACAAAAAGCTTGTCGGTATTGTTTAATAAAATTTGTTAAAAAGAGTTATTGTTCCTTAAATAGATTTTTATATATATATATATATATATATATATATATATATATATATATATATATATATATATATATATATATATATATATATATTCCCCAAGCAAGGGGATAAGGCCTCTAAGGCTAATGGGAATGAAAGAGAACGAAAATACTTTAGAAGGAACCTGAAACCCCATCCTAAACAAAAACAAGGGATAAACCTATATATATATATATATATATATATATATATATATATATATATACATTAAGAATTGGACAAAGTCCGACAATTTATTAAAGACATTTTTTAATGTTTAACATTCTTTTTATAGATACAAGTATTTAAGTAAATGCTCTGTTTATAATAAACATTCAGGCCGGTATATGTTATTTAATACTGTTTATTATAAACAGAGCATTTACTTAAATACTTGTATCTATAAAAAGAATGTTAAACATAAAAAAATGTCTTTAATATCAATATATATATATATATACTGGAAGTAACTACAAAAGATCGTGTAACAACATTATTGTCCTTCACACAAAAAAATCTAAAAAACAACTACATTAATTGAGTTTCTTTTTTCCCGGGTTTCAGGTAAGACATTTAGCAATCTTGACACCATTTGTCTTAAGAATTACTAAAAAAAAAACCTTTAAGTTATTCAGCTAGGAGAGAACAGGTTAAAATCGTTTTGTATCAGTCCCACTGTCTTCCCAAATGAGCAAGAAAAGATCATTCAAGCGTTCAGTAATGGTACCAACATTCATACTCTGGCTTCCATCTTCAAAGTCCATTCAAGAACCATCAACAAAACGATGAATAAGTTTACAAAAGAGGGAACAGTAGTGAGGAAAACTGGATCAGTAGGTCCCAACAGGAAGGGGGATCATCATTACAACTTAGTGTTAAAGAAATCAATTAGAAAAGATCCAACTCAGTCCAAAAGACGTATGGCACGTAAGAGAGGAGTTTCACCTATGACAGTCCAAAAGAGCAGTGAAAAAAGACTTGAAAATGAAATTGCACGTGAAACCTGTGATGCACCTTGTTACTCTTGGTCAGAAGGTTACAAGGTTAGAGGGCGAAGATAATCTTGAATAAGATTGAAAATGAGACTGGAATAATATATATATATATATATATATATATATATAGCACTTTATCCCATAAATATAGCACACCTTAAGACTATATTTCTTCATCATATATATATATATATATATATATATATATATATATATATGTGTGTGTGTGTGTGTGTGTGTGTGTGTGAATATGTCATTTTCGTTTATGATCATCACGCTTCTTCTGTTAAGCTTGATAAGTAATTATACATTCTTATTGCTCGAAATAGAGTCCAGTAGTGTTATAAATACCTCGGAGAACTCCAGTAAGATATCTTTAATCATTTCTGATTTTAATCTAACAATTGGACAATTTTGCCGTTACATTATATAGACATTTTTTTTTACCCAGTATATACAGTATATTTGTAATTGGGCGGCAATATGCTTTCCTTATTGATACAATCTTAAGCTGTTCAAGTCTTGGGTTCTCCATATATCTCCATGAACTGTGCTTCTTACTCCGTAACTCTCTACAACGAGTCGCTCCAGTGCTTCGTACAGCAAACATTATTGTAAGAACATTAATTATATTTTTATTCATTTGCTGCTTGCAGAATCGCCTGAAGCATGGAACCCGGCGGAGGCCGTTCCGCGAACTAAAATCATTTTCAACGGACAATTAATAAAAGTAAAGAATTGTCAGAGGAGACAGCTGATTACAAACTTAATAATTTTTTTTTAAAGAAATCATTGGTTTTGTGTGAATACGTTAATTTCTTTCTTCTTTTTTTTTCCTTTTTGAGCGCCATTTTGAAGCGAGAAATTAATCGTCGCGAAATCCGGTAGACTATTTTCCAGACATTTAGGAAAAAGTAACGATGGCATTCACTTTTTACATATTCATATGTTTCCACTTTGCCCTGTTTCTCACATGTTTGATAAATAAGAAAGGAAAAGATTCCGGCTTGATTACAAGCAAGATAAAAACAAAATTATTATTTAAATAATAATAATAATAATAAAGGAAACGCTAAAACGATTTACGGAGAAATTAAATAAAGTTTTAAACAAATAATAAAAACTTGAAAAGAATTCATAAAAAAAAAAAAAAAACTATTTTAAAATCTGATATTATTTTACGTATCAGAGGAAATCAAGAAGGGAAGAAATTACTTACTTACAAATGAGAATCCTGTATTAAGAGAGATTTTTCTATATTCTGTTCGTTGTTTTTGTTGCTTTTTTTTATTTTTTTGACAGACAAGAATGTTGCAAATTTTAATAATGCTAAGTTAGTTATAAACATGTAACATACGATACCCTGCCGTAGAGATAAGAGACTCTTAAAAATGTTCTTTTAAAAAAAAACTAAGTCAGTTCCCCCAAATTAAAACGCTTTCTTTCCATCTCTCCTAAATTCCAATAATTTTAAATGGCAGCGCGAGAAGTACTAAACATAAATTGTATAAAGAGAGAAAGTATGTTTGTTAAGAAAAGGGACAGCCCAGAATGTGAATTACAAATTGGAGACACTAAAATCAAAAAAGTACAAAAATTTAAATATCTAGGAAGTATTATCACAGTGGATGGAAATTTTGACATCGAAATCCGAATCTATGGGAATAGAGACAGATGCCTTCCAAAATTTATGCAACGTGTTAAGAAACACAAGTTGCGAACTATAAATACGAAATGTCAAAATCAAACAAGTTTAAATTTCTGGAAAGATTTTTAACGGAGGACGGAAAATGTGACATCGAAATCAGAAGGCGAATTGGAACAGCGAAAGATGCCTTTCAAAAGCTAAGCGAAGTATTAAAAAACAGGAAAATCTTGTTAAAAAGAAAGAAAAGAGTACTGAACTGTTATGTAATACCGGTCCCCTTTATATAGTAGTGAAGGCTGGACAATTTCATCGCAGGTGAAGAGATCCGAGGAAATAGAAATCGAATTCTACAAAACGTAACTTTTACGAATACCATCAACTGAACATTTGAACAATAAGGAAGCTTTAATGAAATAGAAAGAAAGAAGACACTTATACTGAGAACTAGAATGATACAGATTGAAATTTAATGGCCATCTAATGGAGAAAGGGGACTTGGAGAATTTAACACTCACAAGACACACTGAAGGCAAGAGGGGCAGAGTAAAACAACAAGTAACGAGCTTATGTGAATAGAGGGCAGAAATTGGAGAGTAGATGGTGAAAAGCAAACCTTACTAAGATCTACAAAGAATACTAAATGCGGAGGCCCATGATCGCCCACGTTCTATAGGGATACGATAATTTAGTAGCGTGTCCCTAGAGTAACATTAATGCTTTAGAATCAATTTTATTTAAGCACTACTTCTATTTCTTTGGATGCTGTGAATATACTGGACGAAGCAATTGGGAAGATTTAACAAAAATGGAAACAAAAAAGGACAATTATATTTAGAATCAGAAAGAGACAGTTAAAAATTCTAGGACACAGGAGGGCTTGGAGATTTTAACACTCACAGGAGATACTTAAGGCAAGAGGGACAGAGGAAAGCAGCTAATAACCCACCTAGCGGGCTTGTGTAAATGTCTGATAGAACAGAGATAGCAAAAAGAAAAAAAAAACTTATTAAGAACCACAAAGGAGAAAGGAAGTTGCTGAGAGCCATTATCTCCCATGTCCTGAAGGGATACGGTACAAAGAAGAAGAAGAAGAAGAATAAGGAGGAGGAAGAAGAAGAAGAAGAAGAAGAAGAAGAGGAGGAAGAAGAAGAAGAAGAAGAAGAAGAAGAAGATAATAATGTTACGGGGGTCATGTACATTCTATATATGTATGTGTTTTTTCCAGCTGCTTTGATTTCATAGATAAATCTCAAGAAGCGCTGTAAATTTTTTTTCTTGATTTAGCAGTTGACAAGTATTTATAAAATGGTTTTACATGCAGTTTTTCGTGTACCCCAATCTATATAAACGGCAATGCTAACATGTTTTAAATTACTTCAACTCTAAAGCTTTTTTCATGCATCTTAGTGTATACAAAAATACATCCAACTGAAACAATCTTTTTACTTTCTTATTCGCAAACAACTTTGCCAATGTGGCTTCCTTTGAGTTTTCTCAAAAACTTGAAATAAAATCCCTCATTTTCCATAAATAGTATGTGCTACGCTTTGAGGCAAAAAGTGGATCATATATTTTCTAAAATAATTTTCATTCTCGCATGATCACTCAAATAGATAAAATGTAAAATGCCACAGCCCAAGATGCTAGAAATTGGAGACATCAGAAAAAAACAAACACAGAAATGAGATGTGTTATGACAGACGTTGAAAAATGTAGTAGCGAAATCCGAAGATAGAGAAAGATGTCTTTCAGAAACTAAACAAAATATTAAGAAACAGAAAAATTTCTTCAGAAACAAAGGATAGGTTGCTGCGCTGCTATATGTGAGTAATATTAATCATACTATAGGTTAGTGAATGTAGAACAATTCCTTTGCAAATGAGGAGGAGTCTTGTCGCAACAGAGATGGGCATCTACAGATGGATACTGAGAAAACTATGGACTGAACATGGGAGCAACGAGAAAAAAAAAGAAAAAGGGGAACCAAAAAGATACTTTTGTTTAGGATCTGAAAATGATGATATTTCTGGAACACATAATGTGGAAAGCGTGCTTGGAAAATTTGACACTCAGCGGACATAGTGAAAGCAAGAGAGTTAGAGGGGAGAACCTACGTAAGGAGCTGGTGAAAATAGATGAAAGTACAGGGATTTGGAGGGATAGTGCGGAGACAAACATTGCTTAATGCTATAAAGGATAGGATGTTGTGGAGTGCCATGGTCGACCATGTCCTGAAGAGACACAACACAAAAAAGAGTGGTTATCCATTACACCATCCACACACCGAAGCTTACAGCGCCTAGTACTAGAATAAAAATTACTGTTGCATCTAGACATTTCAACAGTAAAATGATGAGACCTAACTGCCAATCTAGTACGAAGCTTAAATTAAAAAAAGTCTAGGAACCATAAAGGAAAGTAATATTTATTTTGTAAAATACAAAATTGTACCACAAGGCCAAACGGAAGGCGAAAAAGGAAGGCTTGTCTTATCTTAAAATTTGCTAGCGACAATTACTGACCCAAACATACCACAGTATTCCTTACACTAAGACAACACTTTCTTACTTAGCATCCTCGATGAAGTCTTAGCGGAACGTTCATCAGAATAATTACCATATAAGCATTTAGAGAAAAAGTCACGGAGAAGCTACAATACGGAGGTGGGAAAGTGACTGAAGCCGAGATGCCAGATCAAGACTAATAACATTGCGTATTCTTCTTTAGATTTAATCAATAATCTATAAACATATAGTAAGAGCACCAGACCATTGGTTCCATGGCTTTTGTGTAGACGATCTTCACATGTTTATAATCCCGAGAAAAATGTCTACAAAACGTCATCGATCCAATTTTCAGAAACACCAACATGCATACTGACTATTATGGTTTGGGTTCGAATTTCAAGAAGATATCACCTGAAGAAAGGCGTAGCGTACAACGGCCGAAACATTGTGAATGTGTAAACAAAGAGGAAGACTACTGTCCGAACAATGTAAATAGTGTAAATAGTTATAATATATCGTCTAAAAAATATAGCCAGATCACAGAAATGATTCCTCAAAAATTTAGCATTTTCACCAACACTGATTTTCCCCATCTACTGTGAGAAACAAGCTAGGACACTAAACAGCTAACCTTGAAGAAGTTACATGTCATGACATAAATCAGAAACGCTGAGACAATGTAGGGGCGATATTTTCATTTAGAGGGCAAAATCAGCTACCTGATAACCACCTTGGACTTTCCGATGAACCTTGTTAAGTAACGGACGCCACGGCTTCGTGAAAATTTTAGTGAGGTTTTTCTGGTTGATCACTGCTAATGAGGTATAATTTTGATTCTCAGTGGATGCCCATACAAATATTCGAAATTAAATAACTCATGATTTGACATGACGTAAATCAACTAGCCCAAACTCGCCCTGACTTGTCCAATGACAGTTTTGACTCCGCAAATATCATTAACGGATGTCCTGCTACTCAGTTGTATATAAGATATTGTTCTCTATTAATCGTCTGAGAGGACTCTCTTTGCCTTTTATCAACATGGCTGATGCTAACCTCCAGGCAAATGACTCATTGTGCCTTCTTGAGGTAACATTTTCTACTGAACCGAAGTGGAAAGATTATATTTAATCAGCTACTAGGTTTTCTGCCAGGACATCCATGCATAGAATATCGCTGCCTCATCTGACCCAGTGGTTTTAATATGTATCTAATTCCTGATGTAATACAATGAAAATATGCAATGTTATTGGTCTTGATCTGGCATCTCAGATTCAGTCATTTTCCCACCTCTTTAACGTAGCTTCCTTATAACATTTATATAAATATTTTCATGGTAATCGTTCTGATGAACTTTCCTCTTACTTCCTTCCCAATACTAGATTAGCGGGAAGGTCTCGTCATTTTGCAGCTGAAATGGTTATATTGAACCGTAAGTTCTATGCTAACAGTTTCTTCTCTCGCACTTCTCGCTTTCTGCTCAAGTTTAATCTTCAAAAATTAAAATGTAATGTGAATTGTTATCTTCTATCTTTTTAATTCCTATTCTTTTATTGTCCATTCTCCTTATTTATTTATTTGTCGTATTCTCAAACACTCAGATGAGGCACGGTGGAGTAATGGATAACGTCTCGAACTGACGAATTGGAGAGGCGAGTTCAAATTCCAGTCGAATCCATTACATTGACTTACGTGCTAATACCCCTGGGAAAGGTATGAATCCTCTTCTTCCCCCCAGCTATAGGTAAATAGCAGGACAAACCAGGTTCTATAGCCTTGGATGGCAACTAGTCTACCGCAGAAAGAAATGGCAACCTACTGCGGGAAAAATCTGCCTCATATCGAAAGATACATAATCGCCTAAGTGTGTTCTCACGCATGGCACATAACTGACGGACTGACTCTCACCCTCAGTAACCCATTGCGTCTTAGTGACTTTATCGCTTTGCTTGGGGTGAAATAATTAAAAAAATGGAAAGATAAAGAGAGAACGATGACGTGCAGAGGAAATTTTAAAATTCCATAATATTCGTGGAGGTGAGACTCATGTTTTGTATACAGTGAGGGCTTTTCTCTTTTCATAGAGTGTTGGCATTTTTTATCGGTAAACTGAATAACAGTGCCGTGAGATATCAGAGAGCCATTACTTTGCTTTTTTTAAAAAATCATTTACAACACAGACACTGCTGACATGGTTTTTGTATTAGATTCATAATGGAATCATTACATTATAAGCGAGATTTAGACAATTTCGAATTAATTCTGCAGAAAATGTTTCATTAACAATTCAATGTTTTGGGTCAAACAAACTGTCTTTAAATGTAAGGGATAGAGTTTGTTTTTAAAAAAAAAAAAAAATACTGTAGCTCCCTCCAAGAAGTATTGACGAGAGTTTACTTCTGTAAAGGTTTGTCCTTTATCCAAAATATAACGATGAACCCTGTCAACTGTAATCCAGAAGGAATTGAACACGACACTCCTGAAAGGAATGCAGTTGAGGCAGCGGAAAAAATTGAGAAATCAAATAAATGAAGAAATGTTCAGAGAAATCAAAAAGAAAAGTGAGGAAGTGCCATAACCAAAGAAAAAATAAAATAAAACTAATAACATTAATAAAATGTAAATAATGAATTCACAAATGATAAAATCTTTTTGTGTACTGTGCATAAAATTTTCTTTTCTTTCAAGATCAAATAACTAAGTAGAGGGCACATCTTGTCAAATGTGGACGCTAATTCAGAAAACAAGGACTATTTTGCTAATCTGTTAATTCTGAATTCAATTGTCTAGAATACGGAATCAAATGAATAATTATTTGATAATTAAAACCTACTACTAATATTTATTTGATATGATTAATTTGTTTTTACAGCTTATCAACCTTTGCAGGTTATTTAAAGCCAGGAAATATTTTAGGTTGTAAGAAATTTGTTTTTTTTTCCTTAGATAATGCTTTATTGACACAAGTTCTACTAATTAACCCATAGCTGAGAGAGAAGAGTTGGATTCATAATATTATTTGCGCGTAAGTGAATATAACAAACCCGAAGCGAAATTGGAACACGGCTCTCCGATTTCCAATTCCGAGCCGTTGTCCATTACACCACCCTCACATCAAAGTTTACAGCACCTGGTATTTCCAAGCGATCAACCATCTTGGTACTGACAAGTCTCAATGTTGCTTAACTTCGGTGATCGTACCAGAACCGGTCGTACTGACTTAGTTTGATTTCTTTTTTCCATTCTGTTGGAAGCTTGTCAATAAAGATCGTTTCGGTGACGTCATTATTTCCTTAATACTTTATTCATCTAATGTTCATATTATTTAAATGTCTCATTGACATTAAATCGCGCATGATTTCACTTCCCCTTCTAGCTGGTCGTTCGTCTGGTTTTTATGCCAGAATTTGAACGACCATGACTCTCCCTAATTTCCTATCCTTTGTTACTCAAACTAATGTAATGTTTTGTTTTTTTTTTTGTTTTTTTTAGTTTTTTTTTATTTATTACTCGCCCTCCCAGTCTAGGTTGGATGTGCGGGTGGTGTAGTGGATAGCATCACGAAATAAATAAACCGAAGCGGATTTCGTATTCCAGTCAAGTTCACTCATGCGCAAATATCCCTGAGAAAGGTTTGAATCCAACTCTTCTCCCCCCCCCCAGCTAGGAATTAAATAATAGCACATGTATCTAGAAAAATCTATATTATCTCTAAAAATTGGTAACGCAATGTTCGCTCAGCAAAAAACAAAAAATTATTCTTACAATTTAAAATATGTTTCGGCCTTAGATAACTCACCAATGAAATGGTTGATAAACCGTAAAAAACAAATCATTATCAATCCTGCTATCCTTTTACACAATCTCGTTTCGTACTCTACTCGCGGTATCCCACTGTACCTCTTGTTTTCAGTAGGCCCTGTAAGTGTCAAATTTTCAAAGCCTTCTCTCCTTATTATGTGTTTCTGATTCTAAGTGCAAGTATCTTTTATGTTTACAATTTCCTTAAAACTTTCTCGATGCACAGATATCCCCTCCAATTTATTCACAACATCCTTCTGGATGCTTAAAATAAAATGCACGGAATATGTGTGAAATGACGAGCATGTGTAGAACTACATCTCTGTTGCCTGCAATCTCTTCTTCATATGTGAGGAAATTGTCCAGTGTTTACTAAAGTCTTACTGTTTGTTCATATGCTTTTTCTGCTACGATTAATATTGCTGTCTGATTTAAGATTTCATATCCCCAATTGTAATGATATATTCATCACATCTGTATATATTAACACGGGAACTCACTTGTCACATCAAATTGTACTAACCCACCCTATTTGTATGTTTGCTTGGTGAACATTTTTAAAGTTTTTAAATAATAATATAATAAATTTATGCTTCGGAGTTTAACGATCAATCCAGCTGAAATCTCTTTTTCCGTTGTAACTTCTGGTCATAATTGCGTGTTAATTTAATTTTATAGGAAGTTACAGACATGCAAATATAAATTGTTCTCGTTTTATACATTTTCCCGTTTATTTTTTAATGTTTGCAAAGATGTTAATTTGAAAAAGAAAACAAGTCATTAAAGTCTATTGCATGAAGCAGACGTCACAAGAACGGATTTGTTCTGTAGTTAAGTGGTTTAATCACATTAAAAACATATAGTCATTTTCATGCAACAGGATTTCGAAGTAGGAACTTCTAAAGTTTACCAAAAAATAAATTTCAATCTATTTCATATACAGGTATCTCTCGATTAATGCGCATTTGATTAATGCGTATGTCATTAGCGCGTTAAAATTTTTATATACCAAAATTCATTAGTGCATACATAATACTGAATTAGTGCAGGAAACCATTCTTTAGTTTAACTATAGTAATTGAAAATTCATTTTTATAGTTATCGATTAATTGAAAATTTTCCAAAAATTTAAAAATGGAAAATGGGTAACTATTTTGTTTGTTAAGTATTACGCTTAGTAATTACAGTAGGGTTAAAAAGATGGACGGTGATACATAGATAAATTTTATAATGAAAGCCGATAATAAAATTACACATATGAATATTTGCCTCTATTAAATTTTTTAAAATATTTTGATTGTTTTTCATGTTTATTTTGAAGGTCTTAAAAAGAAATTTCTGATTTTTATTTTAAAAAATCAGACAATTAAATTAGATACAGAAATTTACATTTATTAAAAGATATCGAAATATAAAAGACGTATGCATTTAACATGGAAAGATTGTAAATAAAATGTTCAGGGTAAAATACTATTATCATTGTTGTGTCGGAAACCTACCACCCCTCTTGAAGATGAACTTGTAAACAAAGACTTTAAATAGTGGCATGTCAGTTGACATGGAGAAGAGAGATAGACAGAGATGTTCCAATCTGAGTTAGTTATTGACTACTCAGGCGATTTCTGTACCTTTTTACCAACCTATTAAAACCCTTTTTATTGTTACGTGTTATTTGGCGTTTGTCTCTACTAACTCCAAATCAACATCATAACAATCATATGTTTGGAAAATTTGAAACAAGAATTTCTTAGTATCGCTAATTAGATGAAGAACAAAATAATACCATGTGGCAAACAAACTAGTTTTTTCATAAAAAAAAAACCCAGATTAGTAGACATTAATTCATATCATTTTATTGCATCTTATATGAACCTATATATTAATTAAAAATTACGCAAATTAAAAATTAATTGTGAATGAGACTAAAATTTAATGTACAAATTACATAATTTCCTATGTTATTATATTTGATAAATGCGTTTTCGATTAGTGTGTATCTTTTAATGTACATATTACCCACACAAATTGAGGAATTCCTGCATTAGAAATTCAAAGTGCAAAAATCTACAGATGTTAAAATTGTTATTTATAGGGAAGTTATATTATCGTTTATCTGCCTACCCTTTAGTTTGCATATTGTGTATTTATTCAGTTTTCAAACGGCTTATTTTTAAGCCAAATACTAGGTATAAACAAAAGTTTCCAGCTTTTTTGTTTTGTTTTGTTGTTTTTTTTTTGTTAAAGCCATTTATTGATTTGGTTGGAAAGAAAGTCCTGTCGCATTTTGCAGGTGGAAAACAAACAGATGCCGTTTTACTCTTAATGATATTTTTAATCAAGATAACATCTCTTCTAATTATCGATAAAGTAATGCCATCTATTCAGAAAATTTTTTATCCCACACGCGTAAAATTCCTCAGGTTTCTGTACAAAGAAACGTTCAATATCCTTATTACTTTTTTCACACATAAAAAATAACAGTTTTCCCACCCAAAATATTGCAATGATATAAAAAGATGATAGCCAGATGGAGCAATGTGGAGGGAATTAATCGGATAAAAGATGGGTTTACATTATGGTGTAAGAGCCACACTCCTTCACGACTAAACAATGAAAGACGCTTTTTTTTTCAGAAATGCTTCCAATTGACAACAATATTTCTCTGTATTTTTTTGTTTTGATTTAGTAATTCAACACTCAACAAACGCAGAGCGTTACTCTTTTTTCAGGTGTAGTCCTGATTTTTCAGTGGATGTTAGTCTTTGTTGATTTCGGTAGATATGAATAGAGATAAGCAACTTTTCATCAATGATAATGCCCAGTAAGCGTAGGGTAATACTGACTCAGCTGAGAAGATAGTGAGAGACCTATTGACACTTTACTGAATTCATCAATCAGTCCGTTATGTGACATGCGTGACACACTTTAGACGATCATGTTTCGATACATGACTGACGAAGCAGATTTTTTTCCCTTATTAGGTTGCCATCCAAGCCTATAGAACCCGATCAAAAAAAGAAAAATTACCAAAACTCTCAAAAAAATAAAACTTCGGCATGAAATGATCTATGAGGCGTTGATATGCCGTTAGCAAACCAACTAAATTAATCATTGCACATTCAGTCAGTCTATGTGCCATGCGTGATACACGTTTTGGCGATCATGCATCTTTCGATACATGACTGACGAGACATATTTTTCCCGCAGTAGGTTGTCATTTCTTTCTGTGGTAGACCAGTTGCCATCTCAGGCTATAAAACCCAGTCTCTCCTGCTATTTACCCATCCCTGCTATGAGAAAAGGATTCATACCTCATTCTATTAGCACGTAAGTGAATGTAATGGATTCGACTGGAATTCGAACTCGGCTCTCTGATTTCTCAATCCGAGCCACTATACATTACTCCACCGTACCTCCTGAATTCATGAAGATTGCTAATACTTTTGAAGTTTGCTTAGAATTTACCTCATCTACGGTTTGTAGAAACTCAATATTGACTGAACTTGACTCCAGATCATTTTTGAGCAAAAGGATATCCTGATCAGAACTGCATTAATCATCATCGGCATACCTGGACGCTTAAAAGACCTTTCCATACAACAACGAGGTCTTCTCTCGAACATCTCTCTCCGGCATCGAGACTACCATCCATCAACATCGCCTCCGCTAGGCAAGCCACATATTCAAAATGCGTCCCACTCGACAGAACCTGCCAGCGGGAAGAGTCTCCACGGAGGCCGAAAACGACGCTTCAAAGACCAGTTGAAAACATCCCTGACACAGGTCGAAACCGACCATGAGATCTGGGAAACCGTTGCAGCAAATCGGCCTTCCCAGGGTAGGCCATCACTGGGTGCGGGGACCAAGACTTCAAAGTCCAACCGTCAACATGAAGAGAATCTGCTACGTACTGTCAAGAGAGCCCGACTCAAGCAGCCGCGTCCACCACCCACACTCCTCCGTGACTCCTGTTCACAACTCTTCACGATTAGACTGGTCCTTCACAACCACCAGAGGGGAGAAAGGGAATAAGAACAGAAGATGACGATCCCGATGTGATCGGATGACGACGCGCTTTCCATAGATAGAAAGAATTTTTCTTGGCACTTCCGTTAATAAAAAGAAGGTTTTTAAATCACAGAACATACAGTATCTGATACTCAAATTAAAGGTACAATTTCATGCAAAATTTCCTCACTATGATATTAAGTAATCTACAAGGAAATTTAAAAATAGAACGTCAAAATTAATTTTTATTTTAGAGTAAGACTTGAACGGGAGGTACGGTAGAATAATGGATAGCGGCTTGGATTTCCAGTCGAATCCATTGCATTCACTTACATGCTAATACTCTTGGGAAAGGTATGAATCCTCTTCTTCTTCTCCACCCCAGCGATGGGTAAATAGCAGGACAAACCGG